AAGAGAAGGCTGAGGGGGGATCTAGTGGCCTGTTACAAACTAGTCAGAGGGGACCAGCAGGCATTGGGGGAGTCCCTGTTCCCCCGAGCACCGCCAGGAGTGACAAGAAATAGCGGTCACAAGCTGGCAGAGGGGAGATTCAGACTAGACATCAGGAGGCACTACTTCACGGTCAGGGCAGCTAGGATGTGGAACCAACTTCCAAGGGAAGTGGTGCTGGCTCCTACCCTGGGGGTCTTGAAAACAAGGCTTGACAATCACCTTGCTGGGGTCATTTGACCCCAGTACTCTTTCCTGCCATGGCAGGGGGTCAGACTTGATGATCTGCTCAGGTCCCTTCTGACCCTACTAACTATAAAACTATGATAGCACCAGAAAGAGAACTTGGCTCTCCTAACCATTGTACCTACCTATCCCCATGTGTTGTTCTCCCCTGGGCCATGCTGTCTTCACTCATTGCTATTCTCTCTCTCTCTCTCTCTCTCTCTCTCTGGTGACTGGCATTAACCCAGGATGGGAAAGACCCACTTTGATTTTGCCAGCTTCTTCAGAAGCAAGCTACATTTTCCAAAGAGCAAAGAAACCAGGGGGAGAGACAGAGATGGATAAAAGCTTCCAGTCTCTGCCCACCACTCACACCTTTAAATATCAAATAGCTAATTCTTATAGGATGCTTTGAAGAACAGAAACCCGTAAAAATGCCTGTGACTGTGAACTCCTTTCTCAGACCATTGAAGCAATGAAGGCCATTCTGGGTCAGCTACAGCCTTCAGATCAGTTTTCTCTCCTTGATTTCAACCACAATGTCCGATGCTGGAGGGATGGTTTAGTTGAAGCCACTCCATCACAGATTGACGAGGCCAAGAACTACATCCAGGGAATCCATCCTAATGGGGGTAAGCGTGTTTGCTAACAGGGTGCCCTGATTTACCATTCACACAGTATGAGAGGGAAAAGGGGAAGGCAGCAAATAAGGGGACAGGTAGATAGGGCTGGGGGCAGAAAGCAGAGCAGCAGATCAGGCAGGGGAAAGGAATTGGAGTGGTACTCATGGAGGGTACAGGCCCAATATGTGTCATGCTTGCCAAAAAGTTTGGTTTCTACTGTACTATGTCATGATCGTGGCTCATTTTCTCCATCCTGGTAAGACTAACTCCACTGCCATTGATGGATGTATACATACCGGTGGTGCAGAAGCAGTGTGAGTGGTACAGGCTACAAGCATAAGAGGGATGCTTTTGTGGCTGATGCTCAAGAACTGGAAATTGATTTTGCCTCTGCTTAGAGTAGTGGTGAGACTCTTACTGGAGCTCTGCATCCCAGTCTTGTGTCACATTGTTAAAAGGAGGTTTCAAGATTGGAGACGGTGCACGGAAGAGCCATTGAAATCAAAGGGGAACTGTGCCAGGTTCAAGCACCGGGGCAGCTGTGACGCCCCGATAGTCATGCAGCTCCTGCCCGGCTTGGGCTATAAGGTGGACCTCCCTAGATTGCTCACCCCCCATGCCTTGATCTTATTGAGGATTATGTAAGGGGGGCTGCTCAACAGCCTTAGAGTGACCCTTAATCTTTGCAAGTCACTAACAGGTCCCTCCTGGACCTTCCTGGTCTCAGCTGTCACTTAAACTACACAGGGCCTCCCTTCCTGTCTGCACCCCTCTAGGGCACCTGTAGCCTTAAGAGCACAATGCATGGCTCTGTCCACCCCTACACCACACCCCGTACCTCACGGGTGTTACCACTTATGATGTTGATTTCCCACAATTTGGCCCCCATCAGCTCCAGGACCCCTTGGTCCCATGCTCAGCCCCCTCTCCGGGCCCTGGGACCCCCTGGTCCCATGCTCAGCTCCCTCTCTGGGCCCAGGGACCCTCTGGTCCATGTCTCAGCCTCTCCCTAGGATCCTGAACCCACTGTTGGACCCCACTCTCTCTCTACATCTCTGGGATCCAGGGTTACCCATTCTCTAAATAGGCTTTGAGCCTGCCCCCAGCAGACCTCAAGGCTAAACCCAGGGGCAACTAAATAAAAAGCACCTGCATCTTCTAGCAGGCACCCAAACTCTCTCTGAGCTTAACCAAGGCCACCTTCCTATAGATAACAGCCCCTTTCTGCCCCAAGTACCTTTTCCTTGCTTTCCTAGTCTGCCGAGTTTCTTAATCAGCTCCACTATTAGTTTAGGAGTCCCGCTACTCTGCTGCCAGGAGCAGCTCCCTTCATGATTGCCAGTGTAAGACTGCCTACCCAGCTGAGGCTTTGGGCTTATATAGCTCCAGGTGACTCTCCAGTTAGCCCCTCTGGGCACCTGCAAGCTGCCTTTCTTGTTGTTTGTCCTCGTAAAGGAGCAGGGACACCCTAGTGCCTTGCTACAGGAACCAAATGAAATGTAGGTGTAAGGCTGAAAGAGCTTGATCTGCTTAGCTCAGCCAAAGGAAGGTAAAAAAAAACAGGGTTTGCTTATGAGATACATGGTACCTTCCCCAGAAGAAAATACTGGCTATTAAAGGGCTCTTAATGGGACGGAAAAAATGCATAATAAGAACCAATGGCTGGCAATTGAAGCCAGACAGATTCAGACTAGAATTCAGGCACGTGTCTTTATCAATAGAGGGATTAACCATTGAAGCACATCACTAAGAGAAGTCAGAGATCTTTGACCCTTGGGACAGAATCCTATTTCACTTTATGGGTCTAAATGGCAGCTCTTTTCAGTGCTCAGTGCTTCCCAGAAGTCTTTGTCCATAGGGGCTAATAACGTTACTTTCTCAGTATTAACCTTTATTTAAAAGAAGGGACAATGAATTGAGTGAATACGTTGGGTGCATTTTAACAACCCTTACAGCAGTGGGATGCTGGCAGCCTCATCCCCTTGCTTTACTTGTGGCAGGTGAGGGTGTTTTTGGTGTCTTTGGGAAATATGCCTTGTAGCAGCATTGATTATGCAGTTTTAGGAATGGGTTAGACAAGGACTTGTATGGGATAGATTGGCTAGGTGTGATCCTGCCTTGAGCAGAGGGTTGGACTAGCTGACTTCTGAAGGTTTGCTCCAGACCTCCTTTTTTTCTATGATTCTGTGAATAGGAGCCATGCTTTTCATTGCCTCTTTAACAGGTACAAACATCAATGAAGCTCTTCTTCGAGCAACATTCATTCTAAATGAAGCCAAAAACTTAGGAATGCTGGACCCCAACTCAGTCTCTATGATCGTCTTTGTGTCCGATGGAGACCCCACTGTAGGTAAGGCTCTTACACTAGGTGACTTCAGTAGAAGTAGTCCAAGACATACAGGCACCACAGGCACGCTCTACAAATGAATTAAGAAAATCTTCTTCCACCAGTTTTAATCCTCTCTCAACTGGTAGCAAAATTCTAAGTCGTTGCACATTAGTTTCCCAGTGGAGGAGAAATCAGGTAAGTTTATGGTATATTTTAACTGTAACTTGCTTTAATTACACAGAGGCAACAGACCTGGAACAGTGGTAATTACACGCAGCATGAAGCAGTCCTCTATTCCCCAATGACCTCAGCCCACACAACAATGCCTAGTCCCCAAGAAGCAGCTTGGTCCTAGAAATGGCATCCAAATGTGGAGAATAAAGAAGAAATCAAATTAATTTAAGTGCAGTTTGGATCAGGTTACTGACTGTGGAAATTGCCTCAAGAGCCACCCATGATTTCAGAAAGCTGCTCCACAACTAAAGATGCCAGTAAAAAAATTGTGTTTCTAGCCCTCCTAGCTGCAAAGATGCATCTTAACTGTGAGAAATAAAAGTCCAGATTCTATTCCACCTACCTGCGTAAATGGACTTAGGCAATTAATAGATGCACCCTCCTCCTGCTTTCTGTGACTCAAGGAAAGGTTAAAGTGATGGCGTGATGCAAAATTAGATGCATTAGTGGATAGCGGATGGGTGGAATAGAGTCACGTTTAGATACCTAAGTCCATTTTGACACCTAATATGTGGATCAGATTATATGAGTCTGGCCTGAAATGTAAACCATTATAGTGTTTTTCTTCCTTATTCTACATCAAGTTTGAAATGATAGTTCTCAGAAGCAGGAACAGCCCCATTCCTTCTAAATGAGTTACAACAGAAGACCAAAAGTTAATGAGGGTCATAGCTATGCAAGATACATGGGATCAGGTCTCAGATAAGGATCCCTAGGAATCATTTTTGGTTAGTTTGAAGGAGACTACTGACTGTCACTCTCTCTCCTAAAGGTGAGCTGAAGTTGACTACAATCCAGAAGAATGTGAAACAGAACATGCAGGATGACTTCTCTTTGCACTGCCTTGGGATTGGATTTGATGTCGACTATGATTTCCTACAGAGACTTGCTCAGGAAAACCGTGGCACAGCCCAGAGGATTTTTGGAAATCAGGAGACCTCTTCCCAAATGCAGGTGCATTGTTTTCCTACCACCCTCTCCCTATGGTGGGCCAGCTTTTGCTCATATCTGTGCATCTGGAATTACTTCAGGTTTGCACTGGTGTCACAGGGCATGCGTTTAAGCATTCCTAAATTTAATGCACATTAGTTTAATGCACATCAAGTGGGTTTAGGCAGGCACCTACATGTGCAGGCATTAAAGCGCACTAATGCTGTGTGTGTGGAGTGACTTGGGACTAAAGCTAATCCCAAATCAGTCCTCACACAGTGTTAATATGCTTTAATGTGTTTATACATGCATTAATGCACTTTAACTAATCATTTGCAGGTATCAAATGTAGGTACAATTAGCCCCAAATCACCATTTTTAAAGTGCATTAAAGGGACACATGTAGACATGCACCCTAACGTACCTTAAATTTAGGTAACGCGCCTCAAATACACCCACAGATAATGGAATCTAATCTTAGGGATGCTGTGAAGTCACAGTTGCCTCTAATAGCCCAAGAGCTTCGATTTTTATTCCATACCACAATCCCAGCCACAAAGTTAGGCTGGATCTAGATCTGAGTTCAGGCTGGCTTGCACGTTAGATTACTATAGAGGGAAGGGTTATAGTCAGGAAGGCTATATCCTCATCCAAAGTTCATCAGTTGGAAAGAGCTGGCATCTGGGCCTGCGTCTATACACTATAAATAATGATGGCCAGAAAGTCCTTACTCTACTTCTGTCCACTCACTCCAACACATGTGGTTAGAACTGGGCCCATGAAGGCCCACACTTAGGCCTCTTCCTGCCTCTGAGCCCTATAAGGAACTAAATGACTCTAGTTCTGACTCTGGCTTGAATCCTTGCCCTGACTTCACTGGGACTTGGATCTCCCTCCAGAGACAGTCTCAGGCCTCAGCAAAAGAGGGTTTGCTATTCCGGTAGGAACAAATGCACGGACAAGCTTGTTTGGGTCCCAGGTTCTGGTTGCATGCTTTTTTTTCCGATGGCAGTAGCATCTCAGTGAGGATTGTGTCCGATGTAGCTAGCTTACACTTGTGTCCTTTCCACTCACAGCAATTCTACAGCCAAGTCTCCACCCCGCTCCTCAGAAATATCGAGTTCAACTATCCTCAGGAATCGGTGTCAGACATCACCCAGAACAGCTTCCATAACTATTTTGGAGGGTCAGAGATTGTGGTGTCGGGGAAGGTCGACACTCAAAACTTGCAGCACCTGGAGAGTATTGTCACAGCCACTGCCGTGAGTCAGGGACTCTACAGAGCGCTCATTCTAGCACCTCGGTCTGGTTCATTCACATGCATACGGGTCTTTCTCTGGAAGTGGTAACAGTTTATGATCCATACAGTATTTTGCCTGATGAAGTAGAAAACCACAGGCTCTGGGTGGGTTTTGGCCAACAGCATGGCAGCAGCTTCAAATGCAGCTTGCTGTGCCCTGCAGTGGAATCTCTTGGTAGTGATATTTTGTGTTTTAACCATCTTTTATTGTAGGCCAAATCCTATACTTCAGCCTCTTCGCCATGGACTGCTCCACTATAGCTTGTTCAGGGGCAATGGAGCTGTTCCTTGCCAAAGCTCCCACTCTGAGGACCTAAGTAGCACTGGTTAGACTAGCTCCACCCCATTACATCCAAAGAGTCCTTCTCCATTTGGGGTATGCAGGGAGGGCTCCTTGCTTCTCTCCCTGCCTCTGGGAGCGGTGGTACAACTCTTCCACCTTGACCTGCAGCAAGAGCTCCATACACTGTTCTTATCTCTGCCTCCAAAGGTCTTTTTGGTAAGACAGACACCCCTCACCCATCCTGACCAGCACTACCCTGTTAGTAAATATGGAGGAAGTGTAATGTGGATAAGGACAGCATGGGTTTTAAAAGTCTTCCCACGTGAAAGGCAAGGTTCATTGAGTAGATGTGATATCTTTTATGAGACCAACTGAGTAGCTGGAAACAAAGTTCTTAGCAAGCTTTCGGGCACAGTCACCCTTCCTGTGTGAAACATAGCCAGGGACAAGGGGACAGGTTATTAGTGGGGAGACACAACTGCTCCACTCCTCTAGCTCGCACTCTGATAATGGCATCTTTCTTGCTTAGTCGAATGCACAGCTAGTCATGGAAACTCTGGCGGATGTCGAGGAAATGGATGATTTCATGACCAAAGATAAATACGCAGACCCCAAATTCACTGAGAAGCTGTGGGCCTATTTGACTGTCAACCAGCTTCTAGCTGAGAGGTGAGAATTATGCCAAATAAGCGGCCCTTAAGAGGGACCTATTCGACATGGCAAGGGCCCGACAGATCACTGAGGTGTCAGTGTTAATCCACCTTGCAAAACCAGGCCTTTGATTTTTCGCATTAAAAATGTAAATAAAGAAAGAAGTGTAAGTGCCACCTTTGTACCTCAGGTCTTCCCTCCACTCCCCTCCTGTAGCACCTGGTGCTGGGAAATAAGCTGTGGCTTCTGGGAGCATGCAGATTCAGTTAAGGGGCTGTATGTGATGTGAATTGGACATTTTCCTGAGCAAAGGTTGAGTAAAAGCTAAGGGGGAACCTCTGAATTTGACCTTTTGTCCTTACAGAGGTCATCCATGGCCATCCATCGAAGGCAAAGGAAAGCTCCAATTGAAACCAATAGAAATAGGACCAGCCTTTGTGATGCTGGTCATTCGAGTCAAGAGGAGTTTTCCTCAGGCCCTCATTCTTTCTTGTTTCCATTCCCTGTGTCCTAATCATATAGCGATATCACCATTTAGCAATAACCCAGATCACAGCTCTCATTTCAGCATCAGATGTAATGGTGGATCACAATGTTTCTTTGGTTTTCAACACAGAAACCTGGCCCCCACCGCTGCTTTGAAAAGGAACATCACCAAATCAATCTTACAGATGTCTCTCAACCATCACATTGTGACCCCCTTCACAGCCATGGTGATAGAAAATCCCAACGGGGACGAACGAATGCTGGCAGATCAACCTCGAGACATCAAAAAAGGCTGCTGCCCAGGTTGGTGTCTAGTTTATCTAGGTCTCCTTTTGGCTATGAGCAGCAGAAATGACTTGTTCGTTGTCACTCGTGGAGATTAACAAGGTGCTCTAGGATAGTCACGGAGCTACTACCGAGCCCCACAAGAAATACAGGTTCTCGACATTCCCCTTGATGCTCCAGTGTCATTTACTAATGATAATTTCATTCTGGTTTTTCTGGTGGGCCAGCTAATTGTGTCCTTTTAATTGCTGTGTTCTTGTAAGACTAGATTTTGGAGGCGAGAGTTTTTCAGTAATCCCCAGTAGGATTAATACAGAGGAAATCTATGGAGTTCTTGCACAGGTTTCAGTCCATTCCATAACGAAACCGTATTCCCAGAAAGCTGCACTAGAGGGAGTTTTGCTTGAAGAACAATGGAAAAAGGTCTGACTTGCATTTTATGAATTAGACTACAATGTCAAGTATAAGGCCCTCCATAAAGTATAAGGCCCTTATTCATCTGAGTAGTCCTTAGGCAACAGAAGTAGGCCCGCATTCGGTGTGATAAGGTTACCAGTCCCACAGTAGTGTTCTCCATCACACTGCTGCTCCACATAAAATACCTCCTAAAGCAGGAACCGTGCAGCAGTGTCTTCATGGCAGGCTAATGAACATGGGGAATAGGATTGGCCCTGTCACAGCAGTGCTAACTATTTGGCCCAGAAGGCTGCGTGGAGGCAGCTACACTGCTTCCCGTTTCTCAGGCAAGCATCACAGAGGCTATGTTTCCAGGTGCTGTGAGTATATCATTGACCTATGGCTTTATTCTTGCATGTCCCAGACTGAGGAACCGATTCAGCAAAGCACTCAACTTAAATCTCAATGCTTACATTTAATTATAGGGTAATTCTTAAGCCTTAAAGCCTTTGCTGAACTGGGGTATATTCACAGGAAATACATGTCAAGTTTTAAAACGCACACAATGAAATGGTCAGTGGGCCACATTCTCCCATCACTTAGGGCTATGCAAATCTGTCACTCTCTTGCAGTAAATAGACGTATCCCAGGTTTACCCCAGTGTGAACGGGACCAGAATCTGGTGTTCTGTCTGAGATTGAACCCAACACTGGTCAGTATGAATAATGACTTCAGATATAACTTCTTCACCAAACAGGTACCCTGGGGATAACCCCAAAAGTCCCTGACAAAACCATCCCATCCTGGGCAAATCCCACATCTGTGGTACCAAGTCCAGCATCTGCACAAAAAGCTCCAACGTCTGAAATGAAACCCATACACGCAGGTAAACAATGACAAATGTATAGTGTCTCACTTTACTTACCGTGGCTCCTTGAGTTCTTTTACAAACAGCTGGTGGGGGAGGGAAGTGGATTACTGATGGGTCCAGTGTGTCCAGATGGACACAGATAACACCGATGTATTTGAATTGAAGGCCTAAATGTGTTTTGTGCTAACTGTGGCAGAGATCTGTGTCAGCTGCCCCATTTTTCCTTGTTGAATGGACTGCATTGTATAGGTTCTCAAACACATGTCGCTCCTTCTTTTCATGGCTGTTCACCTAAATAAGTTAACTACTACTGCCAGCTCAAGGAGCTACTCCTTTAGCCAGGGTGGCATAAGCCAGTGCTGAAGGACTCAGATTCAACCGCTATTGGTGATCTGTGCGGGCAATCATTATGTATACTCCAAAGCTACCCCTAAACATGCAACATCCAGGACAAACCCAGGTAGATGATTCTGCTTTATGAAGGAGTCAGCATTGCTTGAACAATTCAAAACTTGAATGGACAAGGCCCTAGAAAATAAAAGGAACCACTCTGAAGATAGGTTAGAAAATCTAATAGGTCTCTGCCATCCACTACAGTCAGGATCTGTCCAGTGAGCTTTCTTTTGTCCTATCTATAGTTGCAAAGCTAATGAGACGTTATTTCCATTATAAATGACAGCATGAATGTCCCGTGGTAGATAAGAATCACTGGACTCACTGCAAGCTGCTGGATCTTGTTAACACTTGGGTCTCTGCCATGAGTTAATGTCTAACTTACAGAAACCAGCTGGGAAAGCCATTGTCTGCGAGAGCTTAATAATGAAGCAGGAATAGGGTTAGCTATATGGGAATGTATATTCAACAGTAACTGCCGGCCCTTTTTTGGCATTCACAGGACAGATCAAGGGTTAATTTTAGACTTGGATATCATTCAACTTGCTCTAAGGGAAGGGAACAGAAGGAAGTTAAATTCCCAGCTCGTTTGTATCCTCTTCTTACTGAAGTCAGTGGTAAACCATCCATGGCATTAGCAGTGAAGGATCAGGCCAGGAGTTAGAGTAAAAGCATGGGATTTACAGTTAAATCCATAGGAGGCTGGCACTTAAAATGGCAACCCAGAAACCCCCCCTCAAGGAGCTGTTTAGCACTATTTGATGGGAAAAGCTGAGCATATGAGTGTGTTTGAACCCCTGAACTTCTCCAAAGCATAGTCGGGGCTGTAAGCAGGCAGGCACCCCTGTTCACTTGGGGACCAAGCCCTGAATACTCTTCCAAAGGCAGATCCTACAGCTCAGTGCTTACAGAAATGAGCAGGGCTCACTCTTTTATTTTAACATGTGTTTGGAGGAGGCCTTTTAGTGCTCTCACCCATGCCTGCCACCCCTGGAAGAGACTCTTGATCACCAAGCTGTAAGCAAAGTTGAGATGAGGGAGACACCATCTGTCCTGCCTGCTGAAGTTATATTCCTGGGCAGAAAAGAATTCAGGACTCATGGGGCCAGAGGGAGAAGCTATACAGGAAGCAACATGTGCCTTGCCTAGTGGTTAAGGAGCATAATCAAGGGATGAGGTGGGACGTGTAGTTTCTAATCCTACCCTCCAGCACTGTTTCTATGTTTTAAACGATGACTGTTGGATATACAATACACAAGCCCCTGCCAGAGGCAGTTCTGTTCCCTGAGCGGCAGTGATGCATGGGGGAATGGCCACTGCCAGGCTACCGACAGTGGCATGGCAGCAGGGATAACAGTGGCAGCAGCTGCTATTTTTGTACCCCATATAAGTCAAACACCCAGGGTGAGTGCCTTGGTCTCCTCCTCTTAGCATTATGATACTGGTCCCTAGAGCAGATACCAGAACCCAGGCATCCCAGCTCCATTGTGTGAAAGCCTGAACCACTAAACTGTAGTTATGCACTCGCTTCTTGGCAGTCTCCCAAGAAGGGCATGCCATAGCCTTATGCCATGCCATGGCCATGCCACAGCTGGAACTCCTTTGGGTTGAGGAAGGAATTTCACTGAGGTCTTCCACTTCCCCATAGCAAGTGCTCTAACCATTAGGCCATAACACACCAAGTAGGTAGCAGCAGTTCCCCCTCTCTTCTTGTTTTAAGATTTGTCTATGTTGGTCATTCTGAACCGGGGTACCCTGGCACGCCGGGGCGCTGGGAGATCAAGGATGCCATGGGGACCGAGCAGGGTTAGCACTGTTAGGTATGCAAAACACTTTTCACAAAATAAGTGCAAAGATTTCAAACAGAAATCCTCAGTGTTAAAAACATTGTGATCTTTCTGAGTTCTTGGCAGCAGAAGAATTGCTCTATTATTTTTGCCTAGTCAAAAAAACAAGTGAAAGCTAGGAGCTGACATTTTCCAAGGGAACCCTTGAGTCTATCAAGAAGGTCCTTGTGTCTAAAAAGACTGAGAACCTCTGGTCTATGTTAATGAAGCTGTTAAGACATATATGGAAGCAGAGCCCCTAATGGAGAGATAGCATGTGGCTGCATTAGGGGGTTCCTCATCTGACTTTGCTGAACTACCTCTGAGTGACAGAAGGGAAGCTAGCAGAAATCCTCTTCTGTCAGTCTAGATGCACCAAGACCAGGGGTGTTGCTGGATCTAGCTAGGCTGGCTGTGAGGTGTGAAAAGACCAAACCCCTACCAATGTAGGCATGTCAGCAAAACTTTGCCATGTTGACCAAACTATGAAAAGGAAATGACATCCACTGTTTGTGAGGGGCTTGATCCTGTGTGTGGATGAGAAATGCTCTGGAAATACCTGCCGGGTCAGGCTTTTCAGAGGGCTCAGGCAAGGGAACAGCTTGCTCCTAAATGCAATCCTGACTTGGGTAGGAGGAGATAGGTGCTGAGTGACCCGATGGGGGCAGCTCTGGACGAGCACGGGAGCAGAACTTGAGGCACTTGGGGATCTGTCAAGCCAAGTAGGGAGGCACCTAGGGAGGACAGGCACCTCCAGGGTGAGGTGGTAGTTGAGTAGGGGATTTTGGATCTCAGTTTTCAGATTTGAGCTTCTAAACTCTTTCTAAGCCCAGCTATTGGCCTTTCTTGCATCTAGCCCTTACAAACTGACTCAGATGGTACAATTTGTACACAGAGCAGACCCTGCTATGCCTGAGGACGGCTTCAAGCTGGGCTTTTGGGTCAACCCCATCCATACTATTACCTGCAGATCTTCAATCATACAAGCCTCTTAAAGAAATACAGTTCTGACTCTTACCTTCATAAACTGGAGCGTGGTGTTTTCCTGACCAGCAGCTGATCAGTTAGCTCTGGGCCTCATTGCAGTCAGCCACCTTCCTCTGAACTGGGAACACCTCACCTTTTCTCTGAGAAGAAGAAATGTGCGTGGATTTTGGTGTCATTTTGGCCACAATAAACTCTAAAGAGGGGTGTGGCAAAGCACAGGCTGAGCTTGTCACTAAAGGAGTGTGGACAGGCAGCGGAGCAGCCTGCAGGTGGCTGCACTCCCAATCAGGAGTTGCATGGCCTGCAGGAGCCTGCCCAATGGGGAGACAACTTGCTGCTTCCTATTGAGTGCTGTGAGGAGTAATTAATACTCTGAAGCACTTCGAAATCATTCAGCAGAAGTGGCTATGCCTATCTGTGTACATGGGTATTAAGCTGGGTGTGGTGAAAACCAGTATGGAGGTACTGAGGAAAAGCGGGTCACTTCCATGCAAGTATCGGATTACTGCTCATGGTACTTTGGTTTAATTCCCAATTATTTGTGCATCTTAGTTGATAATGACCCACATTTCATCATCAACCTGCCAAAGAGCCAAAAGAACATCTGCTTCAACATCAACGCTGAGCCTGGAAAGATTCTGAACTTGGTTTCAGATGCTGATACTGGTAAGAAGTTTATACCTAGGTTTATCCTTAAGGATTTTTGTTTGGGGAAGGAATGTTTGCAGGTTGCAGTGAGTTGCTTCTTGCTTTACTGAGCGCTGTCAATTCTTATCAAACCAATTACCATATTCTCCTACGTACCCGAGTTTTACTCCACTGATACCAGTGCAGCTACTCCTGATGATTTTCACTGGCATCAATGAAGTTAACCTTAAAGCACATGCACACCTTGCAGAGCAGGGTGGCTGGGCTTGGCTCCAACCATGTGAACACCAAGGGCCAGATTCTAGTCCATCTCTTGGACACAAGTGAACTGAGGCACCTAAATGCGATTCTGTTCTACACGGCTCAAGTCCACGAAAAACAATTAATGCAAAAGACAGGTGAGTCTTCCTCCACCTTGCCCCTTTTTGTGACTCACTCTGACGGGCCAGTTGACAGTATGTTACAAGAATAGACGAATTGGTGGATTTTCAGCGTCTCTAGCAGGGTGAAATAGAATTGCATTTAGGCACCTAAGTCTACTTAAACACCCAAAAGCTGGAATACGGTCTGGTCCTAAGAGCATAGAATCTGTTCCCTGCAAACTGGATTGGAAGTTTATGTACTCTACATAGAGGTGCTCAAACATTTGGCCCCATGGGCCAGATGATTGGTGTGGGGCCAGTCCACAAGCTGGAGAGGACCCTGTGCACCTGGATCAGGCCCTGCATGCTGGGATCGGGCCTGACCTGCCCCCGATCATCCCTGCGCATGGGGATCAGGCCCCATAACACCCCTGCCCAGGCCTGTGTGCCAGGATTAGACTCCACATACTGGGATTGGGCCTGCACTGCCCCCACCTGGTTACATGGCACCTCTGTCTGGCTCTGCATACTGGGCTCAGGCCCTAGTGCCCTGCACTGCCTGGCCTCACCTGTCAGGATTGGTCCCATGCTGCCCGCCTCAACCCTGCCCACTGGAATGGAGCCCCACACATTGCAATCAGGCCTACACTGCCCCCCCACCAGCCCTAAATACCAAGATTGAGCCCCAGCTCACCCTGCTCATCCAATGTATTGCACGAGGCCATGCAATGTGGCTCGTGGAGCTCCCAACAGGTCTGGAAATTTGGCAGCAGGGGAGCAGCAACCTGTTTGCTGCCAGCCAGTTTTCAGACCTGTGGGGAGCTCTGTGAGTTGGATGATGTGGCTCCGTGGGCAGATCTGGCCTGTGGGCTGGGGTGGTGAACGCTCCTGCTCTACACAATTGTCAGCCTTAAACATTTAGTAAAGAATCTTAAGTTTGTCGCATGTATTTGACTTCACCCCGCTGCTCAGCTTGCAGTTATTGCTACTCTGCCCAATGTGAGCTGTTAGTGAGTTTGAACAGGTGATGCATTAATAGCTTTCTGTCAGCGACTTCAGAGAGGGCCCCAGATGTTCTGAGTAGGTTGGCTGTGGCCTGAGCAGTGTGTGAGATAAGACATTTGGGAGGAACGTGAATCAGAGAAGACTTGCATCTTTTCCCGTTTTAGGATGGCCAAGAGTGTCAGACCAGACCTGCTAGGCCGTGATCAGCATGTGTGTTGTGATAGGGACACAAACAATAGAATGAATAAAGTCGAATGCATTTTATGAATAAGGATGAATGAATAAGAAAAATGACAACAGAATGAATAAAGTCTAATGTCTTTTATCCATGTGGAGCTGTGAGACAGATTTCTGCAGATGCACAAAGAGAATTGCATCCATTCTACTTGAGAACTGCTGCTGGGGAACTGGGGTTATTTCATTTGCACTTCCAGATCTGCACAAAGGGAAAAGTTGGGAGGGGAAAGGGGAAGAGAGAGAGAGGGAAAACAAAACCCAAAGAAATCTTTGGTGCCAAGCAGGAAATTAGATTACCACCTAGGCCCCAAAACAAGGCAGTGAGAATCGACCCACTGTACTGAAAGCACTTCAGTTCAAAGAGCTGTTGGCCTTCTGTGACTTAAGTGCATGTCAAACTTGTTGACAGTATCCACTGCTGCTTCTTCTTAGGAGTTGTAGTCAATGGGCAGCTCATCGGGGCCAAGAAGCAACAGAATGAGAAACTGAACACCTATTTCGGCAAAATCGGCTTTTATTTCAAAAGCAAAGGCTTGAAAGTAGAAGTCAGCACACAGCTGATAACCCTGAAAGATGGATCTTACAGCACTGGGCTGTCCTGGGCTGACACTGGAAGCATCATTCGGAAAAGGTAAAAGGGGGAGTTTCCCTTGGGTAAGAAATGGCAGAAATGCATTTAGAAAGTGTCCATCTCTGGGGATCAGAGGCCAAGATTGGCTTTTTACGTTCCTAAGGAGATCCAGCCTCATTAGCTTCCTACTCCATCCTTGAAATGAAAGGCACAAGGTCCTTTTGGTAGACAGCAGGCCACCCCCTGAGTAGCTGTTAGTGTGAAAAGGCCTTCCACACACACTCACCGCTATGGTCTTTAGATGTTCATACTATTATAGCCTATTATTTGCACTGCAGGAGACACTGCAGGTGCCCCAATAAAAGATCTGTTAGGTACCGTAGTTTCTGTCCAAAAGAGCTTGCATCCCAAGTATAAGATAAAACAGGTGGTAAAATGAGGTGGTACCAGTCAACGTGATCCACTGTCATCTCAGCAATGACAGGCATATGAAAAGTTTATCACTATGGATAATAAAAGGCACTAGGCTCTTTGACCTTATGCTACCATAACAAAGCAGCATGTATTAGCATGTAGGACAGGGGTGGGCAAAATGTGGCCCGGAGGCCGGATGCGGCCCGCCAGGCCACTCTATCTGGCCCACGGGGCCCCTAAAAAATTTAGAAAATTAATACTTATCTGCCCCTGGCAGCCTGTCATGTGGCCCTCGATGGCTTGCCAAAACTCAGTAAGCAGCCCTCCACCCAAAATAATTGCCCACCCCTGATGTAGGAACTCACAAATTCTAGTGGGTTCTCCCATTGAGTTTCTTCATGATTTGGAGTTCCTTGATTCAGTTTTCAAAGGTTAAAATAGAAATGAGAGGCAGGTAGCTATGTGAGTCTGAAGTGAAGCAGAAGGCAGGGTAGATTTGCACCTTATAAACTTAGTAAGATATATAGCAAAATCTTTTGTGAGCCAGAGCTCTCTTCATCAGATGCTTTAAAAGGACATGCACAAGGCAGTCTATTAAATAGAGAGTGATTTGAATATGAGATAGGGAAGAAAGAAAAGGAAGGAGGTGGAGGAGAAAGAACAGTGCTAGGAGAGGCAAATAAGTAATAAACCCATAGGGTAAGGACAGAAGTTACATATAAACTGGTTTAAGTGATCAGAAGCTGGTTTAAACCTGTAACAGAACAGAAGTTCAGTGCACATAAACCGTTTTCAAAACTAGTTTAAGATAAACCTGGTTGGATGTAGTATCAGACTTAAATGATTTAGGTCAAGCCAGTTTATGGAACTTCTGTCCCAGACCCCATCCTGGTTCAAGTAAACTCACAGTCCCCCAGCATCCCAGGATGCTTTGCATCTGAACTATGCTGCCTGCTCCAGTGGAGCAGGTACTACCTCACCCCTCTGCTCCTTAGCCTGCTTCTGCCTGTGTCTATCAGCCCATAGAGACAGGGAGCAGGGGAACAGACTCCTAGACCTCTGTAGCCAGGGTTTACACAGCACATGGGGGCTTTTCAGACCCTGGCAGCCCTCCCTCCTCCCCCTTCCCAGCTGCTGATTGCTTCAGCAGCTGCTACAGGAGAGGGGGAGAAGACCTCCAGGCCAGGCCCATGCAGCCCAGCATGTGGGCAGTGGGGAGCCCCCACCTTGGGCGGCTCAGTCCAGGTCCCCCCAGCCCAGGGCAGCCCCAGGGAGCTGAGGGGAATTCTTCCCCTCCCAAACCTCATTGCTGCTTGCCTCGGCCTCTGAGTCGCAGGCAGCTTCAGCAAGGGGAGGGAAATTCTCTTGCTCCTCCACAGCTGGTTTTGCCTTAGCTGCTGCAAGGCAAAAGGTTCACCAAAACTTACCAGGTATGAGAATGGTAATGGAATACGAAGCTGTAGTCCCTGTTTAGACCGCACTTAACACAGTCCAGTCTGGGGGGATTTCTTGTTGTGCATTCAAGTTCATTTTTTACAGTTTTGTTGCCTAGAAACAGCTACTTTGAGTCAGCGATAGATTGTTCAGGGAGATTGAAGTGCAGATGAATGAGCTTTGGGTGCTACAATCCATGTTATTTGGTCCAGAATAGAAGTAGAAATAGAAATGGTCCTGCACCCCTTTCCTGGGTAACAAAAGATCTTTAATTGCCCATTAAAATACAGGGCTGGTTGGGTACGGTTGCATGCAGAAGAAGCAGAGTATCTCTGCAAAATGAGGTGCAGATTTCACTTGGTGTTTATGCTTCTGCTAGGTTGCTGGTGTCCGTGAAGAAGGAACACAACGTGACTATCACAGTGGATGAGGAAATGTCCTTCATGGTTGTACTTCACCGTGTGTGGAAGAATCACCCTGTCAACGTTGACTTCTTGGGAATCTACATTCCCTCTTCAAATTCATTTTCTTCCAAAGCACATGGGCTGATAGGTAAGGCCTGGTTTTGGGGCAATGGGGGAAAAACCCACTTCTTTTGGTTTTTGGCCACGATCCTGTGTGTTGTTACCAAATTTGCCCATTACTTTGGGGTGTGCTCATATATTAGGGATATGTTTTTAGGGTCTTGGTAATTCTATTAATGTGCTGCTTGTGTTACTTG